TTATTATTAAAAAATTTGTCTGAAAGAGAAATAAAAATATTTATTGCCGAATGTATGTAGATGTCAAAAATGTCAAAAGGCAATAACTAGGTTTGGCAAAACATTTTTTTTTTTCGAAATGGCCACTTAGGGGTGTACGACGAACTTTTCGTTTGCTTGTAAGGTGTCAAAAGGATCTAAGTAGATCTGAAATTTTTTTGAGATAATTGATAAGTTGGGTAAATGCACTTGAAATGATTCTTGCCTAAATGAATGCAGGTTAATTAACTAATTTAAAGAATGTATAATCTTTGTCACCAAATAAATACTATATTTAACTAACTATAAAAATATAGGTACAACTTATATTTTTAAAAAATGTCACTTAGACCCTTTTGCTTGGAATTGGAATTGCTTATTTTGCTTATTTTAATGTATAAAGATCACACCTTTTAAGGAAACTATCAATAAATAAATTGCTATTATTTTGCGTGTGTGTGACGAATAGTGTCCAAGGAGTTTCGACATCTGATAATTTACAGCCTATTTACTATTCACACACACGAAATAATATAAATTTATTTCTTGACCGTTTTCTTAAAAGGTCCGCACTTAGCTTTATACATTGAAATAAGCATGCTCGTTAAAATTAAGCTCGGAAACCCTGAATAAGCTAAATAAGCAATTCCCAGCAAAAGCTTAAACTTTTCGGCCCTGATTATGACATTTCAACAGATTCAAATTCTCCTTTACATTTTATATATTTTTAATAAAAACGGTGCGAATCACGTAAGTAAAAAAATTACCAAGCACTGATAATGATTAATACTCCGATTTATTGTTTTAATATTATCAAAGTTGCAAGGCCGTTGAGAATGTTCACAATTTATGAAATTTCAAAAAATGTCAAAAAATGCGTCAAAAGTTGTTTTTTGAAACTACCTTCTTTTTTGTATTATGGTATGTACCAGTATGTACCATGTACGACTCAGCAATGTTGCCATCACTAATATGTATGTCAAAATATTTCCAAAATAAATACAAATTCGTCAAATTGGGAATATTCTATGTTGCCCATTTTTCCAATTTCCAGTTTTCAAACTATTTTGCAGGCTCTACGCACAGATGTGTCTGAGCAGTATCACTATATTTTGTATTCTTGGAGTTATAGTAAATCGAGTAATGCGAGCGCCATACATTTTTTTATATGTCAGCAAAGGAAAGCCATGGGAGAGACATTTTATAAGTGTATTTGAAGACGGTTTGAGAAAACCAAAATTTAAAATGATTCCAGATGTAGTAGTTTTTCCATTTTATTTCTAGGGAATATCAACACAATAGTATCACTTTTTCCCCGAACTGTCAACAGAACACAATATCATTTCTACTGATCATGATTATCTAATGCCTACACCACAACAAGTCCCCCAGCTGCAGTGATCCAAAGTGGATTTGCAATTTTTATTTCATTTTATTTTTGGCAAAGTTATGTATTATAAATAAACATTTCATTGTGTTTTCAATCATGGTTTCAATTTAATTCGCTGTAATACACCCATACATACCTAATTACTTGCATATGTGCATACATATATTTAGATACTCATACTTGGAATATGATGAACCTGAGTAGCAAGTCTCAAAGTATGCTAATCATAAATTTTCTAAATGCGCTAAATAGTTTTAATTTCTTCGTATGGGCATTCAAATTTTAACACATATTTTTTCTCTTTTCTCATATTCTTCCAACAGCTACCGCCGCAGCGAGGACCTCGATGATCTTTTCAACATGACATCCAGTTCGAAATCGCAAGCCTCCAGCCAAGGTGACAGCAACTTTATGTTCAAGTCGAACAAATCACTGGACGCTGAAGGTCTACACGAGGAGTTGTTAATGGCCTAAGCTGAGAAACTTAGTAGCAGCCTAAAATAGGAAACCTACGTTCGTTGACGACTAATGGGTTCATACATAAATCTAACGCTACTGTAGACAGCAAACAAAAAATTAAAATACATATTTTCCATGTATGTATTTATGTATGTGCTATGTATATATGTATTGGCTAATAGAATTCTCTTGGAACAAATTGTTGAGTGTGGCAGTCCAGCATTATTTGCGTCACAACCTCTCAGCCCCAATATATGTACATTAGACTGCATCACTCCCCATACAAAAAAAAAAAAATCCGTTCAAAATTTTTTTAAATTTTTTAGAAATATTTTTTTGCAAATTTTTTAAGCTTAAACCGTTTTGTCATTTGAGGGGATTTTTTCAAAAAAAAAATCTTTAAGAAACTATTTTTATTCATAAAAAATTCCATTTTTGGAGGTGTTTTCAAATCGGTTCAGCTCACGTAAATCTTAATATTTTTCCGATATAATAGATTTTGTAATCCCGTCGGAAAAACCGCAACTTTTTTTTGGTGATGCAGTCTAATGTACATACATACATATGTATGTACATATGTAGATACAATTCTTGAAAACCAAAAAGCTATATATGTATATTTAATTGCTAAGATTCATTTATATACATACATATTTATCTCCCAAAGAACGAACTGGACTTTCGACTGTTGCACACTGTGCAAATGTGTAAGTAATTAGAAAAAAAAAATTTAAGCAAAGAAAAAAGGTGTGCAAAAAGCCCTTTGATGTGAATTTTAATCATAGCAAAAATATTTTATTGGACATTGTATTTTATTGAAACTATTTAGTGCATATAAATGTAAACATGATCTAACAAATACAAAATTTAATTGGCTTCTAATGCTTGTTTCAGAAATACATATGTATGCACTATGTGCAAATACATATGCACTAACTACATGCATTCATACATAACTTAAATTTTTAAAACTAAGCGAATAGCAAAAAAATGCTTTATAAACCATATTCCGCACGCACACTATTTATTTTTCATGTACGTACATACGTACATTAGTACGAGTACTAGGGTGGTCCCTAAAATATTAACATCATTGGGTACCCCATTATTTTGTTCTACATACAAAATACGGACATCCACGAAAATTTTAAAATTTTAAA